AGCATCTTCAGAGCAAGTCTGGTTCGTCCAGTCACTCGCGGGAACTCCCTGGTGGCCTAGTGGTCAGGACTCCAGGCTTTCACCGCCGAAGGTCCAAGTTCAGTCCTTGGTGGGGGAACTGAGATTCAGCAAGCCATGTGGCATATGGGCCAAAAAAAAAAACCATGCACTTGTGAGTAAAACGTTGTCTGTCAGCCCCTTGTGTGGCTGAGAATGTCAGGACTCAGAGAGGGCGGAGGACCTGAGCCAAGGCAAAGCCGAGGTCAGCCTGGTTGGTCCTGCAGCTTCGCTCCCCCTGAAGGCAGCGGGAGGCGCTCTGCTTCACTCCCAGCATTTCCCTCAGCGCCTGGCTTCCCGGGTGGCTCAGCTGGTAAAGAATCCGCCTGCAATGCGGGAGACCCCAGTTCGATTCCTCGCTCAGGAGGATCTGCTGGAGAAGAGATAGGCTACCCACTCTAATATTCTTGGGCTTGCCTGGTGGCTCAGCTGGGAAAGAATCCGCCTGCAACGCGGGAGACCTGGGCTCAGTCCCTGGGTTGGGAGGATCCCCCGAAGAAGGGAAAGGCTGCCCACTCCAGTATTCTGGCCTGGAGAATTCCATGGAAGGTATAGTCCATGGGGTCACAAAGAGTCGGACGCGACAGTGACTTTCACTTCCCTGGCTGTCTTAGCTTCCCGTGCAGAAGTGGAGGCACTTTTCACCTCGAATCCCTAACGTCCCCTTTGCCCCTCGATGGTGGCTTCCTTGCGTCTGTCCCTCTCCTGGCATCAGTAGTGCACCCTCAGGTCAGCACATGTCACAGCCCTGCCATCCGAGGCGCCAGCCTGAGCGTCCACCCTGCGTGTCAGAGTTGGTGCCGTGCGGGCGTCTCCTTGGGTTTGTGTGCAGAGCCCTTGAGAGTCCTTTGGTAACCTCCGAGCATTTAGGGGCCATTTAACAGTGTGTGGGCTTCCCTTGTGGCTCAGCTGGTAAAGAATCTGCCTGTAGTGCAGGAGACCTGGGTTTCATCCCTGGGTCAGGAAGATCCCCTGGAGAAGGGAAAGGCTACCCACTCCAGCATTCTTACCAGGAGAGTTCCATGGACAGAGGAGCCTGGCGAGCTACAGTCCATGGGGTCGCAAGAATCAGACATGACTGAGTGACAAACACCTAACAGCTTGTAGGTAGCAGGTCAGGCAGAGAAGTTATTGTGGAAAAGCACGATATTTTTCTGTTTCTGGAAGGACAGTCACCTTCAGAGTCTTCAGGGTCAGGCCCTGCTTCTGTTGGTGTCCCCATCTGTGCTTCTTGCTTCTTTGAAAGTTAATGTCCTTTTTCCCTCTGGTGTGATTTTCTCTTTGCCTTTGATTTCTAGCATCTTACCTCTGATATGCTGGGTGTGGTTTTCTTTGTATGTTTCCTGCCCTCATTTTATTTGGCTCTTTTTGATAGATTACAGTTTTCTATTGAAATTCACTGATTTGAAGATGATTGGAAAAATGCCTTTGGAAAAAACTCCAGGAGGATTATGGAGCTTAGTCAGTGTCTTTTCTCTCGATAATTGTGGCTCCTTGAATCATGCCTGTGTGGTGCCCGCCAGCGCTTTCCCATCGGGGTTTGCATACGGTCTGTCCAGCTTGTGTAGTTGTTTTCAGCTATTTCACCACGGCGAAACCATAACTTTAATGGCTGTGGTCACTCAGTCTTACGTGAATGATCCTCATGAATGATTTGTATACTGGTTTTTCTGTGCTAAATCTCTTATTTTAGAAAAAACAATGAGCAGTTTGTGGTTTTAAAAGTGCCCCCACTCCCTGCCTACTCCAGCCAGTTAGAAAAACAAGCTAAGCAGATATTTAATGTGTCTCAGAATCTGTGTGTCCGTGACTTTCCGCCGTATCCTTTGATGATATTTTCTAGGCCCGCCGTCAAGGATTCCCAGATTCCCATGGTCCAGGTAGAAACAGACCATTCACCCCCACTCACCACCCCTGGATGCCGTTTAGTTCCACACCCTGTGAATGTGTTGTGACCCTTGACACAAGCTGTGGTTCGAAAACCGTCTGACCAGTTTGTGGATGCCGTTCAGTCCCCGCTTGACCCTCATGCCCTGGGGTTGGCTCTTCTCATCTCCTCTCCCCCGTCCCCTGCCCATTTGTCCAGCAGGCTGATGGGGTCCCCTGCAGTGCTGAGGACAGTGCCAGACTCGGCCAGGACAAGTGTGGGAAACGGCCAACGAGAGTCCCCCTTAGCTCCAGCCGTCCTTCGGCTCCTGTTCTGATGAGCCAGGCAGCTCCACTAGTCACTCTTGTTCAATAAATAAAGGCAGAAACTGGTGCCAACCCATTACTCTTCCTCTGACATGAAGCTTTCGGTTCCTGTAATCCTCCCATTTCTTTTGACTGTTAGGTTAACAAGGGGTTGGGGAACATAGTCAATGAAAAAAGAGCCTTTTTCTTTCCTGGTTATAAAGATAACACAGAATAAAAAAATTTTTTAAGACATACACTTTCACTGCTTCAACTCCTTAGTATAGAAGTTTAAATTTTTTTTGCTTCTCTTTGAGCTTTTCTGTTTAAATACATGTTTTATGTAATTATAATGCATAATTTTATAGTCAGCATTTTCACTGCCATAAACCTTCCCCCCCCCCCCCACTTCAACATAGTCCTCACACTTACACTGTTTGGTACTTTTTTTTTCTCATTGGTATGCCAGTATTTAACAAGTTTGCGGGAGGCAGATCTTTTTTCAGTTTTCTGTAGTAGAAATAATGCCACACTGAACATTGTCAATTCAAGAATCCTACTCCTAAAATTTTTGTGTAACTAATTTGACAGAGGAAAAACTGGTACACAAACAGTATTTTCGTGATTCTTGATACAAGCTGTTGGTCAGAAACTATTCTAACAATTCATGATGCCACCAGTGGTTTTACAGCCACACCTGTGTTAGGTGCTGTAAATTAAAAATATTGGCTTATTTAGCAGCTTTAAATGATATCTTTAATTTGCTTTAATTTTCATTTCTTTGATTATCAGTAAAATTGAGCCATTTTCCAGATGCCCTTTCCTCTCTGTATTTAGAGGTCATTGTCAGCACCTCCACCACCTTCTTTCCCTGCCATGGTATCTGGGAGGGTGTTTGTTTTGGGGGCTCAGAGAAATTCTGCTTGTGAACTACTCTGAACAAGACCCAACCCACGATGGGCATACAGTGGTGGGTGTCCATCTCAAAACTGTATAAAAGTATGTGTATATTACGTCCTTCATTCCTTCTCTTTCTCACCCTCAGGGGAATGAAGGAGGTATGCTTGATGTTTTGTTATTAAATGCATGAAAAACAGATTTTCATTTCAAGTACTTTGATACAACTTCAGTGTTTTCAAATAAATTAGTAACCACGTATAAAAGAGATTAAACTCTGAAGTTTAATTCTTTTATGTGGTTTTAATTATATGGAGTCTGTATGTATTCAAGACACTTTAAATACAAGAAAAAAATTTTTGAGGTTAATTGCCTTGTTTGTTTCAAAAAATAATCTCCAATCCCTGTATACCTTGCAATATAATACAGAAGCATATTGCTTATGTTAATACATTCAGTTATTTTTAACTTATCAAATTTACAAAACTCAATGTTGAAGATAACTGGTAAGATTAGGTTGAATATTTTAATAGGTTGGTGCAGACGTAATTAGCATTTTCAGTCCGTGAATTTTAAATCATTATAACTAGGCTCAAACACATCTTTATTAATCAAAAGAGGAACCATTACAATCGACACATTTTTGCCAGTGAGAAGTTTATTCATGGAGCATAACAACCTGTGCTTTCGGATTTGACAAACTCCAGGAAAGCATTTTCTGCCTCCTGTTGATTGAAGAATCGTTTTCCCTGCAAAAGGTTGTCGAGATGCTTGAAGAAGTAGTGATCAGTTGGTGAGAGGTCAGGTGAATATGGCGGTTTGAGGCAAAATGCCGTAGCCCGATTCCTTCAACCTGTGAGGTGTTGGCTGTGCGACATCAGTCCAAGTCTGTCATGGAGAAGGACCGGCCCTTCCTGGCGACCGGCGCTGGCTGCGGGCCCTGCAGCTCTCAGTGCCTCTCATCACCGTCGTTTTGCCGAGCGTGCTTCTCAGGTGTGATGGCTTTTCCGGGATTCAGAAAGCGGCAGTGGGCCAGGCGGGCAGCAGACCAACGAAACAGGGGCCGCGACCTTTTTTTGGTGCAAGTTTGGCCTTGGGACGCGCTTTGGAGCTTCTTCTCGGTTTCGTCACTGAGCTGGTCACTGCTGGTTGTCGCATGCAGTCCACTTTTCGTCACACATCACAGTCCGATCGAGAAACGGTTCGCCGTTGTTGCATTGAGCAGGAGAAGATGACGCTTCAGAACGATTTTTTTGATTTTTGGTCAGCACATGAGGCACCCACTTACGGAGTTTTTTCATCTTTCCGATTTGTGTCAAATGCTGAACCACCACAAAATGGTCAGCATTGAGTTCTTCGTAACTTCTTGCATAGTTGTAAGAGGATCAGCTTCGATGATTGCTCTACTGGGTCGCTGTCAACTTCCGATGGCCGGCCACTGAGCTCCTCATCTTCCAGGCTCTCGTCTCCTTTGCAAAACTTCTTGATTCACACTGCACTATATGTTCATTAGCACTTCCTGGGCCAAATGCATTGTTGATGTTGTAAGTTGTCTCCGCTGCTTTACAACCTATTTTGAACTCACATATTCAAGAAATTGCTCGAACTGGCATTTTGTCTAACATCATTTCCATAGTCTAAAATAAACATAAAAATACACAGCAAGTATTAAGTCATTAGCAAAAAGACATAAAGCAAGAAAGGAGCATTAAAGTGCTATATAACGTGACCACATTTAAGAATGTATTCCAATATCAAATGGCAAATTTCAGCAATGCAAAACCACAATTACTTTTGCACCAACCTACTAGTTGAAGGTATTTTTCTCCCTGCATATGTATGACTAAAAATGTGTGTTGTTTCTCTTGTCTTAGGTTAAAAAGGCCTTCTTTGCCTTAGTCGCCAATGGTGTTCGAGCAGCACCTCTGTGGGAGAGTAAAAAGCAAAGTTTTGTAGGTAAGCAGTGCGGGCCTGGGGAGAAATCTGAACACCCGAGGTGTTGGAATCCAGTCTCGTAAACACATTACCAAGTTGAAAAAAGACCGTTGCTTTTTACATCCTGTGAGGTGGGGCTGCTAGCAAATTCAAAACGTTTATGAACCTGTACTGGGTTTCTTTTCATCCAGCACCTTTTTGGCTCCAAAGGTTCCCCTGGGCCTTTCCCGGTCCCATGAGCCCCAGGAACGGGGTCCCCGGCCTGAGGCCCGCCCTCTGCTGGGTTCCCGCTGCAGGGCACCCCCGTTTCCTCCTGGGTGGACGTCTTTCTGACACGGTAGAGGAAATGATGGAGACGTGGTTGGTGCCTTTGCTAAGTCATTGTCACACTGTTAAAATTACCGCTGACTCACAGTGTCTGGGCTCCACAATGTGTCGTCTGAGGAATCGCAGCGGACTCTGGGGGTTGCCCCTCTCAGCAGGCACTGCGTGGTCTGGAAACGGCTCCCTGTGTCCGCCTCCCCTCGGGCTGCAGCTTCATCGGGGGGGGGCTCCTTGTCTTCACCCCTGTGGTCCTGATGTCCGGCACACAGTGGGCCCTTCATAAATCATGCCTGAGAAAGCCGTTGTCTCAGAAAACCATCCACGTGCTACCAAAAGTGCCATGTCTCTAGAGCTCGTGGCACACTTGATCTAATCTGAAAGTATCCGAAATTATTTGTGGGCAGATGCAAGTCTTTCGTGATGTTTTTGTAACATTCAGAAAGTTTTCTCTCAGTAAATTGCCAAATACTGTGATTAATTCCATTAAATACTATGTGGCTTTAACTTCAGTTAAATTTGTATATCTTAGTTTGGGGTAGATAATTAACAGGTTAATAGTTTTAAATAATTTATTAAGGTGTGCTGTAATCATTATAGTATAATTTAGAAGATTTTCTAGTAAATAAATACTTCAGGTCTGCTTATCACATGAAATTTTCCTTTAATGTTTTCATAGTTTTATGTTTAATATGTAACTCTTTCTTCCAGGAATGCTGACAATTACAGATTTCATTAATATACTACATAGATACTATAAATCACCCATGGTAAGTGCCAGAAATCATTATGTCAAGTAAGTGGAGCTATGTATGTCTGTGCATGTATACAGAACTGTTCGTGTGTGTGTGTTTTAACATTTTGTGTGTTTTTCTTTTTTGGTACTGGGCTGACAGTGCCGGTGGTCAGTCTTCCAGATACCCACACACATATATATGCATGGGGCCTCCCAGATAGCTCAGTTGGTAAAGAATCTGCCTGCAATGCAGGAGACCCCGGTTTGATTCTTCAGTCGGGAAGATCCGCTGGAGAAGGGATAGGCTACCCACTCCAGTATTCTTGGGTTCCCCTTGTGGCTCAGCTGGTAAAGAATTCTGCCTGCAATGCAGGAGACCTGGGTTTGATCCCTGGGTTGGGAAGGTCCACTGGAGAAGGGAATTGGTTACCCACTCCAGTATTCTGGTCTGGAGGATTCCATGGACTGTATAGTCCGTGGGGTTGCAAAGAGTCAGACACGACTGAGCCACTTTCACTTTCATATATATATATATATATATATATATATATATATATATATATATATATATGCAGGAAACCTCGATGTAAATCAGTCTGATATTTGAAGCTTGAAGAAAGTAGTCTCAGGAAACATAGAAACACAGCCTTTTTATTCAGCTTTCAGAAATCCTCAGATTAATGGGATTCTATGTACTTATTTATTGCCTGTGTGCTAAGTAACTTCAGTCGCGTCCGACTCTTTGCGATCCTATGGAGTGTAGCCCGCCAGGCTCCTGTCCATGGAATTCTCCAGACAAGATCAGATCTTCCTGATCCAGGGATTGAACCAGGGCCTCCTGGCCTTCTGCACTGCAGGCGGATTCTTCCCCGTCTGAGCCACCAGGGAAGCCCCCGTTTACTGCATAGACTATTGTCTATTGTTTGTCTAGTTGCTCAGTTGTGTCCAACTGTCTTGTCACCCCATGGACTGTAGCCCGCCAGGCTCCTCTGTTCACGGCATTTTCCAGGCAAGGATACTGGAGTAGGTTGCCATTTCCTTCTCCATTCCCGACCCAGGGGTTGAACCCTGCGTCTCCTGCGTTGGCAGGCAGATTCTTTCCCACTGAGTCACCAGGAAAGCCCCTACTATAAATTTCACTAGATTTGTGCTCTTTAATGGCATTATGAGCATGCTGTGGCAGTGAGATCTACCTGGACGCGTGAATGAAGGAGGCCACTCGTACGCCTTTGGACTGGACGGCTGTGCCCAGTGAAGCCTCGCAGTATGTGAGCTGACACAGGGTTTACCTTCCAGGCCTGTGGATGTTCATGCAGTTTATTGCAGTTATTCCCAAAATTCCACAACAAGGACTACATGGACACGGTGATTTTAACAAAGTAAAAATTAAAGTTAGAGAAATTCACTTTTGACATCTTTCTACTGGCTAATTTTAGTGACAGAACTCCCTGGTCCAGTCCCATTGTTTTATAAGCGCATAGTTGGAAACCCACATGTGGCCTTTATCTAACTCTGTGATTTTCGTGATTCTCCCAACTTGTTTGGTTTTTGCTGTTTTTCTTGCTTTATTTCATTGGCTGAGCCCTCCAGTACAGCGCTGACATCATGAAAGCAGACCGCTTTGCCTCGTGTGCCTCCTAAAGGGAAAGTGTTCCATATTTCACAGTTACTTTGGTGACAGCTGTCGTTCTTTCATAGATGCCCTTTATCACGTTGAGGATGTTGCTTCATTTTCAGGTTTGCCAGAAGTGTTTCTCATGAACAGATGCTGAACTGGGTCAGATGCATTCTGCAGCTGTTGAGATTATCGTATTTTTCTCCATTCTCTTAGACACCATTTCTTTGAGCATTTTTCTGTCCCCTCCTCCACTTTCTAGGATGCTAGTTACTCAACTAACACTCTTGTTTTGTAGCATTTTTCCCAGTATTTCCTCTCTGGGCTTCATTTCAGATATATTTTATTTCTATGTCTTCATTTCCATGGTTCCTTTCCTCCACAATATCTTACCTACTATTTTTGCTTTTTCCTTTCAGATAGTATGTTTTCTGTCCTGGGAGTTCCATTTGGATCTTTTTTATATTTTCCATTTCTCTCTCCCTGTAATGTTTATATTTTCCTTTAAATCCTTGAACATATTATGTCAGTTGTTATATATGTATCAGAATCTGTTTCTATCATCTCTATTCTGGGTCTGATTCTAGTGACTGGTTTTTCTCCTGTCATGGGTCGCATTTCTGCCTTACAAATTACTAATTCCTAATGAATGCTGAATATTATATATCATATATTATAATATTGTGAATATTATAATTATAACATTATGTGGTTGAATATCTATATTGTCTTCCTTTAAAGAGTATTGGGCTTTGGGCAGACAGTTAAATTACTTGAAGATCCTTTATTAAAAGCAATTTTGTTGAGATATAATTTGTGTATCTTATCTGTATTGTCTTCCTTTAAAGAGTATTGGGCTTTGGGCAGGCAGTTAAATTACTTGAAGATCCTTTATTGTTATTATTTTTTTTTTAAGATCCTTTATTAAAAGCAATTTTGTTGAGATATAATTTGTGTATCTTATATTTCACCTATTTAGAGTATGCAGTCTAATGGTCTTTAGTATATCACAGAGTTGTGCAGTCATCACTACAGTCAATTTTAGAACATTCTCATTACCCTAAAAAGAAACTTCACACCTCTTAGCTGTGACACACCACCATTCCACCATGACCTCCAACCCTAGGCAACCAGTAAGCTACTTTGTAGATCTGCCTATACTGGACACCTCATGTAAATGGAATCACACAATATGTGGTCCTTTGTGAACAACTTCTTTCTCATAACATAGTGTTTTCAAGATTCCTCCATGTTGTAGCATGTATCAGTACTGCATTTCTTTTTGTTGCCGAATAATATTCCATTGTATGGCTATATCACATTTTACTTACCCATTCATCAGTTGATAGACATTTAAATGGTTTCCACTTTTCAGCTATTAGGAATACCGCTGCTATGAACAGACACATCCAGGTGTGTTTGTGGATATCTGTTTTCATTTCTCTTGGGTATAGACCTCAGTTTAGTTCAATCGCTCAGTCATGTCCAATTCTTTGTGACCCCATGAACTGCAGCACACCAGGCTTCCCTGTCCATCACCAACTCCCAGAGCTTGCTCAAACTCATGTCCATTGAGTTGGTGATGCCATCCAACTATCTCATCCTCTTTCATCCCCTTCTCCTGCCTTCAGTCCCTCCCAGCATCAGGGTCTTTTCTAATGAGTCAGCTCTTCGCATCAGGTGACCAAAGTATTGGAGCTTCAGCTTCAGCATCAGTCCTTCCAATGAACACTCAGGACTGATCTCCTTTAGGGTGGACTGGTTTGATCTCCTTGCAGTCCAAGGGACTCTCAAGAGTCTTCTCCAACACCACAGTTTAAAAGCATCAATTCTTCAGTGCTCAGCTTTCTTTATGGTCCAACTCTCACATCCATACATGAGCACTGGAGAAACCACAGCTTTGACTAGATGGACCTTTGTTGGTAAAGTAATGTCTCTGCCTTTTAATATGCTGTCTAGGTTGGTCATAACTTTTCTTCCAAGGAGCAAGCGTCTTGTAATTGCATGGCTGCAGTCACCATCAGCAGTGATGTTGGAGCCCAGAAAAGGGTATAGACCTAGGAGCAGAATTCCTGGGTCACACTGTAACCTGTGTTTAGCTGTTTTCCACAGTGGCTGCAGCATTGCACCTTCCCACAAGCCGTGTATAGCGTGCCAGTTTCTCCACACCCTCGCTGACACCTGTGACTCTCTCTGATGACAGCCTTTCTCGTGTGTGTGAGTTGGTACCCAGTTGTTGTTTTGCGTTGCATTTCCCTGATGGCTAATGATGTTGAGAATCTTTTCACATGCTTCTTTCAAGGCTGGCTTTTAAGCTTTGTCAGAGTGTTAATCATTCCTCTGGCTGGTTTAGCTCTACCAATACTTCAGAGGTCTCTGTGGATTTCCCTGGTTGTTCGGCAAGGACTTTCCACTCTGCGGTCGGAAGGCAAATGTCCTTCAGCATATGTCTGCCAGGGCTCACAGAGCATCATCCCGTGCATGCCTGCCTAACGTTCCGTCAGAAACTCAAGGAGCACTGTGCAGCCTTCTCTTTTTCTGGACCCCCAGCCCGCTTTGTCTAGTGGTCCGTCCTGCAATCCCACGTGGCTCCTTCTGTCTAGACCTTGATTTCTGTCTCCTCAGCTCAGCGTGACATGCTCTGCTAGGGGTCAGCTGCCCGCATCAAGGTCTCGCTGCCTCTAAAGCAGGACATGGCGGTCACAGAGCTGCTTGCCTCCCTTCTCTCGGGGACGACCGACCTGCCCCCCTGTTGTCTCATGTCTGAAAGCAGCTCCAAATATTTTTTTTCCCATTTCTCGTCATTTGTAGCAGGAGACTTAAGTGTGGTCTCATCTATTGCATCAGGGCCAGTAGAGCTCTTTGACTATCTCAGACATACCTTTTGGCATGGTTTTTGCTGTCTTGTGGTTGCTGTTTGCATTTCACTATCAATTTTAACTTAACCACAGTCCATTTAGAGTGAATATTGGTGTTATGTAGAAAGTATACTTCCATTTAATCTGCCCCTCACATTTTTATTTTAAACAAAATGAGTAAAAGTGAAAAAAAATTAGTTTTTTATATTTACCCACATAGATACCATTTTCTGTTCTTTTCTGTGGATCTGAGTCACCATCTGTTGAAGAACACCCACCACCATTTGTGTGGTCCACATCAGTGATGAATTATCTTAGTTTTTGTTTGTCCGACAATGTCATTATTTCATCTTTTGTTTTTTTTAATCTTGATTTTGGAAGGACAGCTTTGCTGTTTTATAGAGATTGAGCTGTCTGATTTTGTTTGTTTTCTTTAGCTCTTTGAGTATGTCGTTTTGTCGCCCTTTGCCTCCCAGTGCTTTTGATAAGAAGTCGGTGGAAATGGCTGTCCTTGTGTCCTCTTGGTAAGGCACCAGTTCTGCCTGACTCAAGGCTCTCTCTTTAACTTTGATTTCAGCTGTTGACTCCAGTGCATCTTTGTATTCATCCTGTTCCGGGTATGTTGAGTTTCCATGATCTTCTAAGTTGCTTTTCTACCTATTTTGGGGGCTGCTGTTTCTTAAAAAAAAAAAAATTGTTTTAAATCTCATTCTCTCTCTCGTCTCCTTCTGGGACTTGTATTCCTTGTATGTTAGACCACTTGATCCTGTCCTCTAGGTCTCAGTCTTTAGCGCCAGGGATCTTCAGGTAATATCTGTTGATCCATCTTAAACTCACTAATTCTACCTGGGGTGACCTCCAGTCTTACTATCAAACCTTATTTCTTCTGGATGCTTCTTTTCAGTGGGACGGGGACTGTGACTGTGAATGATTTTGTAGCTTCTCTGGAAGATTTTCCAGGCTGATTTTTCACCAACTGGAAACAGCAATTTTAAGTTATCATTTTTATGTCTGTTATAGAAAGAGCTGTTCCTGATGATGAGAGCCACGGCCGCTAGTTTTCCTATTAACCACTGTATTTACACAAGTGGGGGTCCTGGACAGCCTGTTTTTTAAAGCCCAGTTTTGTTCGCAGGCAGTGGTCTCTGGCTTCCTCCCCGCCGTCCCCAGAGCCAGCCGGGGTGTTGCTCACGCCGGGCAGTGTTGGGCCCTCTTGCTTCTCGTCTCCTGCCAGCTTGTCCACTCAGGCCCTCCTCTCCCTCCCCGCCATCCCCAGAGCCGGCCGGGGTGTTGCTCACGCCGGGCAGTGTTGGGCCCTCTTGCTTCTCGTCTCCTGCCAGCTTGTCCACTCAGGCCCTCCTCCCCCTCCCCTGGACTCTCCTGCTCTCCCCGCCCCGTGGCTTCTCTTCTTTGGAGATCTGAGTCCACGCCCTCCACGGGCATTCTCCTTCAGGCCCTCGGTCCTTGCCGGTTGACACCGTGGTCTTCCAGAACCCTCCTCAGGCACCCCTTCCGCCAGGGTGAGCTCCCTGTTGTGCCCCTGGAGCGGATGAGTCCCCATTTCAGTGCCCCCCACGAATTACTCAAGCAGCACTTTTCATGTTGTGTTCTGATTTCGCCGAGGGCAGGGTGTCTCAGCTGGGAGTGATTTTGCCTCCCCCAGGGACATTACGTCTCCTGGCTGGGGAAAGGGTGGGCTGGTCCAACTGGTGTGGAGTGGGCAGAGGCCAAGGATACTACCGAACACAGCGCACAGGACGCCTTAAAACGTCCATCGTGCCAAGGTCAAGAAGCGCTGTCGTTGGGGTATCTGAGGTTCTTGTTAGGTCGTTCTTAGAGGTAGCGACTCTGTCTTCCGCATGTTTATACCTTATACACACACACCTTCCCATCGTACTGGGGCCAAACGCCCCCAGTTCGTAATAGAGTGCCGTGTTAGCCGAGCATCCACGCTGACGACGCAGCTAGAGCCCTGAGGGGTCGTGCAGGCAGAAAGCAGGGAGGCCCTCCTCTGCTGGGCTCAGGCTTCACCTCAGAACCGCCTGCGACAGACCACGATGTTCTGCTTTCAACTGTCAAAGCCAGAGGCTCATCGTCCTCATTTAGGAATCTGACTCCTTCCTCATCCTCCTCTGTGTCCTGGATGCTATCAGTCACCTAGCATCAACATTGGGAGGTTGGGGGCTTCTCACTTATCCATCTGTCTCTATCTCCCCTCCTTCGTTCTCCTCTAAACCTTTTAATTCTTCTCCCAGTGGCCCCCCTCCGTCCCCACAGTCACCATTTCAAGACCCAACCTCCGCAACGCTTGGTCTTGCATCTGACTCTGGTGCCGTCCCGTGGGCCCTCTGCTTAAACCATCAGTGCTGCCCTGGCCTCTTCCCCCCGACACAGAGCCCGCCCCGGCTTGTCAGTCCCCTGGCCCCCGGCTCTGACCCCCACCCCGTCCGTCTCCTTTCTGTGTTTCAGGAACGTGAAGTCCTTTTCTTCTCCAGACCCTTACTTGGGTTTGTCTTCTGGGTTGACGAGAAGTCCACCCAGCAGGCAGAGCCTGGCTGAAATCTGCCTCCTAAAGGTCTCCGGGTCTGACCTCTGACCTCTGCTCATCCCTGTATCCCTACGATAAGCCTTGTGGAGTCTGCTTCCCCCGCCGGTCAGTGGCGGCTCTGCTCAGGACTGTCTCAGTGTTGCCAGGCTGGGTTGGGAGCTCAGAAAGAGGCCAGGCGTTCCTGCGGCGGGGCTCCAGGAGCCCCCCGGGGTAGCGAGCGCTGCAAGAGGCAGCGTCCCACCGTCCCTCACATAGACCTCACAGAGGCTAGTGTGGACGGCCTCCCACCGCAGTGTTTAGGGAGGGACGCAGACTCAGAAGCCTTAAGTACTTTGACCGAAAGCAGCAGCCAAGATGCGGTGCTGCACGTGCTGATGACTCCGGGTGATGGCTGCTATCAAACCTGCTCTACCTTGGCGAAGACGCCCGCCTGGTCCAGCATAACCTGATCCAGCAACTTAACTAGCACGCTTTAACCAACTGCCCTTTTTAAACTAGAGAGGCTAAATATCTTATATATCCTAAGAAGGAGTGTGTGTTTATATATGTTTAAAATTTGTAGTTAGTATAAGTTGTATACTAACTATATAGTATAAGTTTTAAATTTTAAAGTGTATCACGGGTTTTCAAATTAAATTAATAATATTGTGTTGGTTTATGTTTTAAATTTATACAACATTTGTCTTCAAAGAAATGCAGAGCACGCTTTATGTCTCTCATTTATATTTCTACTATTTCTGAACTACCTTGCTTGTTTCCCTCTGTTGAATTATGGGACTCAGCAGTAGTTGTGAAATAGTAGTTTCTTTTTTTCTTTGTCTTGTATATGTTAACATTTGCAAATAAAAATTTTCCTTATTTCTAGGTACAGATTTATGAATTAGAGGAACATAAGATTGAAACATGGAGGGGTAAGCAATATTGAGTGTTAAAAAATCTTTTTAATAACAGGAGAAAAATATTCTACTTATACGTAAAATGTTTTAGTTTCACAGATCCTCTTCTCTCCACTGTATAAATCTACTATGTTAATTAAAACATTCTTTTCTATCTTACTTTTGATACTGTTGTGTGCCATATTACTATAAGTGTTATCCATTCTGTTTAATACACATGTACAGAGAACCTGTGGCAAGTCTTTATATGAGGCTGGGATGTAAATGAATAAGGAGCAGTGCCCGATTCTCCGCCCTTCAGTGGGGCCACCATTCACCTCTGCGTAGTACCTCCCAGATCTTTGTCTTTAGATAGAAAACGCACAAAAGGAATGGCTAAAGTTAACTAAAGCAAGGATCTGTTCCTACTTAAATTTGACCATTATTTCTCTGCAAATTATGGAGAAACATAGAACAAATGAAACTTAAACAAGATGATTTGAATTAAATCACAAGAAAATAACTTCAAGATTACTTTCTTTTGCAACATTGGATTTCACCCTCTGTAATCACAGTACCCTTTTCTGAAATGGAGCCATTTTTAAAATTGTAATTTCAGGGCCGTGAAATCATTGTCTTTAATGAGACCCGTCTTGCTGAGTTGGTACAGCGAGGCCAAAGGGGCAGTCAGCAGGAATGGCACAGCTAGGAGCCAGGGGTAGGCTTCGTTAAGGAGGGATCCTTTGTAGGTGTTCAGGGAGGAGCCTGGATGGAAACAGGGACCCGCTGAAGGTAGTATTTTAATTTAAACCTGAAATTTAGCTTTGTACTTCCTGTTATCTGCTTGGTTTGAAAAGCAACCTTTAGACTGGCTGCAAAATCTGAACATCCGTTAGAATTCTCTAAAGGGCTGGGCCTCTTTTAATCCTGTATGGAAGTTTCATTGAGTGATATATTTGATTTATGGTGGCTTTATCACACCAAACCAAAGTAAGTCAACACGGAATCCACATATTAGCCTATTATGCAGTGAATGTATATTTTAACAGTAGGACAGATACTTCTTAATAAATCCTACTGTTTAAGTAATGTTAGACCAAGGTTTAAGTATATTTATGTTTTGTGTATTATATGGCATTTGGTAGTAATAATAATGTCAAGATTTTCTTGAATGCCTTCTCTATAGAAACCTCAGTAAAGCAGTTTATCTTTACAAAGATGATTTCTGCATACTAGGAAGATCCCCAGATATGGTAGATCTGAGCTTTGGCGTGGAAAATAAAACCTAGCAACATTTGAAGAACAAAGTTTGTTACAGCTTTTATCTTTTAACTTATGAAAATTAGTTTTGGGGGGTATCACTCCGAGCTTCGTTTCCTGAGGGTGATCATGACTCGGTAATATTCTGGTGACCTCTGCTGGTACTGCTCTTTTACTAGATTTCTTGACTTTTCTGGTTTTTACAATATCTATGGTAATATTGTTTTTAAATACTTTTCCACAAAGACACCATCTGAAAACCAGTGTGGAACTTGTTTAACCATAACTATCGTTAACACAATAGTTTCCAGTAGGTTAATTCAGTTTGGGTTTTTAATCCTTCTAATCATTGTCTGTAAATGGAAGGATATTTTAACTTAGTAATTACAAATAGCAACTATGTTACTAATTACATATTTTCTTTCTATAAATACAGAGCTTTATTTACAAGAAACATTTAAACCTTTAGTGAATATATCTCCAGATGCAAGGTAAACGTGTCAAGTTTTTCTCCTTTGAAAACATTCATTCATTCAGATTCATCCATTTTGTGACCATGGGTAACAGGTTATTTTTGTCTAGATGGGGGCCAGCCTTTAGTATTAAGTTCAGTAAACTTAAGAGACAGTGGAAATCACCGCCACTGTCAGTCCAGAGGGTTGGTGATGGACTAGAAGGTGGTCTTACTAAGCAGCTAGAGAATCCAGATCACCTGCAACAGAAGCCAAGTGGGGAGCTGTTTAGTTATTAGAGCTGCCGATCCCTGAGCTGTCCTCCCAGCCTCGCAGACCAGCCTTTGAAGGGTGTCGTGCCCGGGAATGTGCATTACAGCAGCTCCACGAGGGGTTCTGATGGGCACTGAAGCTGAGCAGTCAGCCTCCTCAGGCACTGGTCCAGAGGTGGTCAGAGGCAGGGCTGCCCTCAGTCGTCCTGCTGGACGTCCCACTGTCCCAGATCCAGGAGCTTCCCAAAATTAAAGGCAGACATGAAACCACAGGTCCAGGAAGTTGGCAACACATGTGAAACCAACTAGGCCTCCTGGGAGCGTCTCAGAGACATCTCTACGTTCGTATAAAAGCATTCTTAAAACTAGTGCTCTAGTGAGGAAAGCGTGGGCTTCCCTGGTGGCTCCGACGGTAAAGAACCTGCCTGCCGATGCAGGAGACCCACGTTTGGTCCCTGGGTCGGGAAGGTCCCCTGGAGAAGGAAATGGCAACCCACTCCAGTATTCTTGCCTGGAGAAGCCCATGGACAGAGGAGCCTAGCGGGCTACGGTCCATGGGATTGGAAAGAATAGGACACGACTGAGCACACACACACACACACACACGCGCGCGCGCGCGCGGTGAGAAAAGGTGGAGTATTGATTTTTATTTCCAAGACCTAAAAAAGCAGCTCCACCCAGCACCCACTCCTTGTCTGCAGTCACAGGAGAAGCCAGAACAGGAAGTGGCCAGTGAGTGAAGTCAGGGCAGCCATGCCAAGCCCACCACAGTGCCCTCTGTTGCCAGGGCTGTCCATTAGCTTCCCTGGGGGGTAGCTTCTGTCCTTTCAAGAAGTATCAACTCTGCTATTATGAAAACTGCTCTCCTAGAGGTTTGTTGCTTACATTTGGGTTTGAGGTTTTATATTAACACCGATTGTGGAAGATCAAAAATTTTGCTGAAGTTTGCAGTCTAAAACTTTTCCAGAACACTTTAATGTCTATCAACCTTTTAATAATTGTTACTGAAAGGCATTGAAGATACGTTGAAAGCAGGGGTGGTCCACAGTTTTCTAATTCTTCTTTAAAGCCTCCTAACAACTGTAATGGCTTTTCCCGCAGCCTCTTCGATGCTGTGCACTCGTTGATCAAAAATAAAATCCACAGATTGCCAGTTATTGACCCCATCAGTGGGAATGCACTTTATATACTTACCCACAAAAGAATCCTCAAGTTCCTCCAGCTTTTTGTAAGTAGTTTTTAGTGTTTCTAAAGATGTAGTTGCATCTGCTTTAACTAATTTACTTCAAGTAAATTGACTCCCTGTTACCCTCATAGAAGAAATTTGTTAGTTTTGAGGTCTCCGTTTCTAAACTTCCATTTCTCAGCTCACTGCTATTCGAATTGCTCATTCTCAAAGTTGATTCCAATTAAAAAGCAATCCCCTTTTAGCACAAGTATCAAAATATTAAAAACACTTGGAATTCTCTATTTAAATAAGAATAATTTTATCACTTGAAATGAGGGGACATAAAGCAATTTGCAGGTCAGTCTAATTAAGGATAGACCTAAGATAACGAGCCAGATTGCCTTATTAAGCTTTATTGGTATCATGGTTTTGGAAATATATTCAAAAAGTCTTGTCCCCCAGATTATCTTATTATTATAAGTGCAACAGTGATGGAAAAACCCAAAGCAAATAAGATTTTGACCAAGAGAATACCATGTTGGTCCAAATGAGGGCTATATTTTCTGTAGGTTTTGCCAACTGTGTTTGAAATAAGATGGCTTCATAATCAGCAAAAACGTAGAACCTCTTTGCTTCACAGTGTTAAAAAGAGGCTCAGAGGACCAGAATGTTTACAGAAGGGCTTTAATCTTTTTTTCTCTCTAATTACATGCACTGAATTTGAGGTTATAAGTAATTGGTCAGCTGGAACCAGTAGGTGGCCTCATTCATGGTTCAGAAGAGATCATATTAAGAATCATTCTTTAAAAGAAGGTAAAATCTGCATGAGGTTAGCTTTGCCGTCTTCCCTCCAGCTTCAGATAAGGAAGTAATGTAGCATCTGGTGTGACACGCAAGAGCTCAGCTGCTCTTGGCACCTGCTCCCACCCCCCAAACCCCTTGCCAGACAGCAGCACAGAGAGTTTAGTTAAGACTGGGAGGGAAAAAAAAAAGACTGGGAGAAACGCCTTGTCTACTGTGTTCTAGTAAGTTTGTGTAAATGCAACCCTCTTCATGCTTAAATGCATAGAAAGAGTAGGAAGGAGAAGAGCTAATTTACAAAAAAAAAAAAACATGAAGTTTGGTAGAGACAGTCCAGGGGAGAACTGCGAGGCAGGGATCTTGATGGTCAGACTCCCCGTCTGCCGTGGGCTGGATGCAGTCCCCTTGGCTCTAGCTCCAGCAGGACCCCGGGCAGGGGCTGGGCCAGGCCCTTCGCCCACGTACCCCTCGGAGTCATCATTTAAAAAGAATACGAATCAGGAGCACCAAACACCACTAAGCACTGACGCTGCGTCAGGCGCTTCACATGATAAACCTGATCCCCGCCACCTCCCTTCTCAGGTAGGTATTTTTACTCATCTGATTTGTAAGCGATACAGTTCAGCGAGGTGGTGTGGCTTCGCCACGGTAGCCCTCGCTGCCCCCGCCCCCCTCGGGAGGTGGCTTGGGTCCTAGCGCTCAGGGCGCCTGGCTCACAGACCCAGACCCCCGGTGGCCGAGCTCCAGCCCACTTCCATGGCCGCGCTGTCGAGGAAGAACCACCCATAGTCAGAGACAGGCCTTGGGCGGTTTTTCTCTTCTATACAAAGGAGAGGAGGTTGCCTCTGCCAGTCCTGCCTTCTATTTGGGCCAATATGGTCATTACAATCATGCTGTTAGAATGTCCAGCTAGGAATTTCCAGATAAAAAATGAAGAATTCTAAAGCCTGATTCTTACTGACTTGAAAGCACTCTCTCAGAAGCAGTAGCATTGCCCCTGGAGACATTTGCCCATTAGCCCGAGTGGACAGTGTGGATCAGGGGTTAGTGATCCTGCATCGAGATGGGCTAGGTGACCTAATAGGCCTTTCTTTTTTTTTTTTTCTCTAAATTTCTAGGATTCTCATGATTTGAATATTGATGAACTCTTTGACTTGAACATTTTGTTTCTTCTAATTGTTCATCTTTTCCTGATAATTATAAGGTACACCAGGAGGACGGAATCAACTGTGCCCTTTATAAAAGGTGGATTTTTGAAACCATAGAACCTTGTTTTGTTTTAGTCAAACGTGACCCTAGGCTTCTCTCTTCTGACTTCTCCCTCCTCCTCTAAAACAGCCCATGAAAAGAAAAGTTAACTTTTAAATGTTCTTCTAATTCTGTTCGGTTGGCTTGTTCTTGTTCCTCATAGACAAAAATTGAAGTCCTCCAAAGGAGAATTCGGGATGTTAGAGGTGGGATGGGGTGAGAACTGGCTTAGCTGCTCAGCTAGCCACCATCCAACATTTGGGGTTTGGAAGCGTGTGGCTTCTTGGTAACTGTTACTTAAAGATGACAGCAGGACCACAAATTTAACAGGAATAATTTTAAAAGGTTCTTGGTGGCTGATGGGCCTTAATATCCAAACAGACTTGTTCCCTTCTGTCCACTTTCCCAGTGAATGAAGAGGAGAAAATGTTAGTTTTACTAAGTACTTAAACAGAAGCTTAGACATACAATCTGGCTTGATCAAAAGACACAGTCCTTATATGTAACATTTTCATATTGTTTACTAAGTACTTAAATAGAAGCTTAGACATACAGGCTGGTTTGAACAAAGACACAGTCCTTATATGTAACATTTTCATATTAATTCAGATTTCCGAGTAGATTTCTAGAAAAGACTAATTTGTTGCACATAGTTTTTCATCAAGTGTGGACATGTGAAGGTTAACAGGGTGTGTCTTGGCTCTCGAGCATCTGTACTATCTTCCTGTCTAGATGTCTGATATGCCAAAGCCTGCCTTCATGAAGCAGAACCTGGACGCACTTGGAATCGGGACCTACCATAACATCGCCTTCATACACCCGGACACTCCCATCATTAAAGCCTTGAACGTTTTCGTGGAAAGACGAGTGTCGGCCTTGCCCGTGGTGGACGAGTCAGGTCTGTGTGCCAAGCCATACCTGTTGTCTCCTTAGGGTAAAGTGTGTGTGTTAGTCACTCAGTCGTGTCCGACTCTTTGTGACCCCATGGACTGTAGCCCACCAGGCTCCTCTGTCCTTAGAATTCTCCAGGCAAGAATACTGGAGTGGGTCGCCATTTCCTCCTTCAGGGCATCTTCCTGACCCACAGATCAGACCTGGGTCTCCTGCATTGCAGACAGATTCTTTACCATCTGAGCCACTATGGAAGCCCCGCTTAGGGTAAAATTATTGTTAAATGACCTGACATATCAGATAAGTGGGGAAAAGGAAAACTTAGATCAGGGAGCACTCAGCGTAATAAGCATATTTTCCATTAAGATACGATTTCTTATCTGTTTTTAAACAGACAAGTTTATTTTGTTTAGCAGTATTTAATTCCTAGTGATTATCTAGTTAAAATTGATATTAAATGCTGTTTTTTGTTTCTAAGACTTTTTCTAACATATATTTTTATTTTTAGGAAAAGTTGTAGATATTTATTCCAAATTTGATGTAATTGTAAGTATTTTTAATTTTGTTAAACCTGTCATCTAGAATTCCCATGAAGCATATTCATTACTCTGTTTTTGTGATTCTTCCTAACTTAATAATTCCTGGCTTATTTGAGGATGAGGATCTTATCAGAGAATTCCATAGACTCCCCCATAATAATTGGTATTTTATTCATATTTATTAAATATTGGTACTTTTATTGGTATTTTATTCATTGATTTAGCAGTGAATAACATACTAGCAGCATTTTATAATTCTTTTTCAGATCAGCTATAGCATGTGTGTATATTAAGTGGTCATGTTTCTCTGTGGGAGACAGCAGTTCATTCTGCCAACAGGCGTGGGCCTAATACACACGTGGATCCCTGGGTACACATATACCCCACTGCTTGCTGATTGGCAGCAGCTGTTCTAAAGAGGACAGCAAACCTATTACATAGCGTTATATAAAGATCTTCTTTAATCCCTGGTTTATTATTCTTTAATCCCTGGTTTAAATTTACTAGATTGATTTTGGTGCTACATTCTTCCACTTGGTGCTCCCCACCCCCCACCCCGGCCCGACTCATTTAAATGCATTTCCTTAGAGTTTTACATTAATTCTAAGAAAGGGAACTGAAACTTTGATAGCCCCAAACATGCACATCTTTTTTTTTTTTTCCCCACAATATTGACTGCAGCATTTAAGTATTCTTTTGTAGCTGTCTCAAACCCTTATGTTTCATCCTGTTCCGTTTAACATAATAGACAGCATAAAACAGGCTTACTGGAATCTGGCTGGGTGGGACCCCTCTAAGCTGAATCAGAGCCTTAAGAACCGCTCAGATCTACAGGACTTCCTCCAGGAGTGCTTGGCCCTGACGGCTCCCCACCCCCACGCCTTCCTGGCAGAAACTTTCCTCCCCAGCCCTGGGGACTTCTCACCCTTGGCATATGTCAGTCCACCTCTCAAAAGACTCTATACATCAGGAAACAGCCTGTAGAGTAAGAGGGAGAGGGATAAATTAGAGTTTGGGATTAGCAGATACAAATTACTATATATAAAATAGAGGAAGAAGATCCTACTGTAGAACACAGGAAACTATATTTAAGATCTGGTAATAACCTAAATGAAAAAAATACATATATATGACTAATTCACTTTGCTGTATACCAAAGAATAACACTACCTTATAAATCAACTATATTTCAATTAGAAAAAAAAAAGAGCCCTATTGGGTAAGAATGGGGGACTCTTCCATAGGTCACACAGTCAGAATTTAACACAATTGCTTCATAGTAAAAGTATACCTTACAAGCTTTACTGTTGATAAGATGATGAAATAACAGAACTGATGGCATGTGTTAAGCTGGTACCATGGTACTAAATTAAGATGAAAATTAATGTTTTTTTAAAAATCAGGTTGCTTTGAATTTGCTTTGGTCATTAATGTGAATGGAAACAAGGGATATAACTCACTGCTACTTGATTACAGAACCTTGCTGCTGAAAAAACGTACAACAATCTAGACATCACAGTGACCCAGGCCCTACAGCATCGGTCGCAGTATTTCGAGGGTGTAGTGAAGTGCAGTAAGCTGGAGATACTGGAGACCATCGTGGACAGAATCGTGAGAGCAGAGGTGAGGCGGCTATGCGCACACACAGACACACACACACACACACGTCCCTCCCACCTCCCTCCTTCCTTCCCTCCACCAGCGCTAACTAGGAAGCGGGGCCCCAGGAATTCCGAGTCACAGGAGCAGCCCCTGAAGCAGCCTTCCAGTCCAGTCACGTGGCAGTCTCTTGCTGTAGAGTGTATCTCGTGTCTCGGCACTTTGTAGGTCATCTGTGATGTCTTGGCACCTAGTAGGTCATCTGTGAATGGCCACTGAATTAAATTTATAAGTCCTGATGTCATAGCCGAATCAAATAATTGGGTAGGCTACTTTCATGGTTTTAAAACTTGAGAAAACAGAAGTCCCAAGAGCTTTAAGTTTCATTAGGGTGTTAGTGAAGTTAAAGCTATAGATGTAATTATATGGTTTTAACAAAGTAAGTCAATAAAACTGTGCTCTGATCTTTTACTGAGTTAGAGTAATTGTCTTCCTATCAGTGTGGCACTTCCTGATTTAAACCGTAAATGGTCAGTCCGTCTCCTGACCCTCAGCCTCATGTCCCCTTTTATTTTACTGCTTGTAAGATTTTTTAATATACTTTGCATAACACTCTAAATAAAAGATGCACAGGATCACCCCCATAGTGTATCGAATACATTAAACCCATCCTCAGATAATTTCTTTCCTTTTCTTGTTAGGGATAGGGAATTACCCTCTTTATCAGTCTTTAGTAAGGACTGAAGCATTGATGCAACTGTGTTCCTCCTAACCCTTAACTGGGCAAAAGCCGTTCATCAGTCTGCTCGGATTTATATTTAAATGCAAGGATGCAGTCCAAGAAGAAAAGTACCTGAGTATTTTCAGGCTCATGGCGGGTGACCTCAGCGTGCTTTCTGACTCTTGCCTGTGACGTGGTGTGGAGTCTGGAGTCCCGGCTCAGGAGCCAGCGGCGCCCAAGCCCACCAGCCCTGCCCGTGTCACACGTGTGAAGAGCCCCACTGCCCTGTCTCAGGGCCGACGCCCCAGCTTCAGCCGCCAGGCTTTACCCTGTTTCCCTAGCCTCAACATGAAGGCTTTCCTTTTTCTACTTGACTTTAATACCCATTACTAGTTTTCCAAAGGGCTTTAAGTGGCTTAGGAATACATCTAAGCTTCCTATTGTTCTTTTATGTGCCTTTTGAAGATCATAAGAAATCCCTCCGTAATTATAAGGACAATGGACCACATCCATCTGAGGGACTCCTTTATAATGATTAAGGATCATGTTAAAAGAGGATGCTCTTGATATGGAAAAACAATATATTGCCAAGAAGAAAGGCCAATATAAAGTGTAATCCTTTGTGTGAGCATAACGCTCACATGCATAGAAAAGAGTCTACAAAGACTTGCACCTCAGTATTGACATGGCTGTTTCTGGGGACGTGAGGACGTGGGGAGTGCCAGCACTCCTGCGTATTCCCACGCCCCTGTTTAAGCGTGTGTTACTGTCACATAAAAGGAGAAAGTGATTGGCTTGTCCTGGAAGTTCATCAGGTGAGCAACACAAATTTCACTGTAATATGAGATAGGTCATTGAGGAAAATAAAAACATAATTAAAGTTTTCTGGTTACCCATCTTGACTTTTTTCCTCATTAATTATTTTCCACCAAAATATGTTGAAGCTGAAAACTGAGGACAAAGACCAGTTTTTAGCTTCAACATAATTTGTTAGGAGAAGGGTATACATCAGCAATGAATATATCAGTGATGATTTGCCTTATTTATATAATGAATATCACACTAGCTTTTAGAAAAGGAACATCTGTAAGTTTAGACTCACCAACAAATAAAATACTTTTGGTGCAACTAATTCTAAGTGAAATGGTTTCCCCTTGACCTTTAGTAGTTCAAAAGAGAGTCATTTATCATTATTAAATATTAACAACCAACTGTGTCTAGTATAGAATATAAAGCATTCTCTGACCCTAACTGTCAAGCATCAATTTATGATCACAGTTAATAGATAACTGTGTTATATCACAGGGTGATTGAAGAACCTAAGTTGTTCTAGAGGAGCTTTTAAAAGAAATGTACAATTAGCATAATTAAGATGACAGAGTAATTTCCTTTTTAACCTAAGAGCAAGCTATGATGTCAGAAGCGTCACCAACACAGTATCATTCGAGACAGACTTTGAAAAGGATCCCCCTCCTCCCTCCATCTCCTTGCTGTGCTCCCCACCCGATTCTGCACCAGCCAGGGTTTCTGTGGTCAGTATGAGGAAGAGAATCTCCAAGCTGGCCACCGGCATGTGGTTGCCTCAGGCCTGAATCCTAAAGCTCATACATCAGAGAAGCTCTATGCTCGCTCTCTCTTTCCTGAGAATACCTTGTTACAATAATACCTCAAACATTGTCCACTTATAAAAGGCTTTCAAGTAGAAAACAGGACATGAATGTAATTTATTTCACTGTATTATAGTTGATTATCCTCTGTTATTCTTAATATATGAACTTCATAGAGAAAAAAGAAAAAATAAGCATAGTGACCTTTTAGTTTTGCTGTTTATTTGGACTTCTCTGCCATGTAAAACAGTTATCTGATAGTTACTAGAAACCAAAGTACAACGGTAAAAAAAATCTAAAACCATTTAAGAGATTATAGCTACATGAAATAGCTACTGCTACACTTCATGTTTTGAGTCGTATCTTTCATGTATTAATATTTTGAAAATAGAAAGCTCAGCCAGACATAGCCAGCCAATGTTTCTTGTGTGCATGAGGGCTAAGTTGCTTCAGTCGTGTCCGACTCTTTGCAGTGCTTTGGACTGTAGCCCTCCAGGCTCCTCTGTCCATGGGGATTCTCCGAGCAAGAATACTGGAGTGGGTTGCCATGCTCTCCTCCAGAGGATCTTTCTGACCCAGGGATCAAACCCAGATCTCCTGCATCGCAGGCAGATTCTGTATTGTCTGAGCCACTAGAGGTTGTTACTCACTGTATAGTACGTGAAAGATTTTCTTTCTAAGGTTCACTTTAAAACTTGACTTATTTCAGCTTTCACATGTGGGGCCTCCTCTTCTCTCGTTTGCAGGTCCATCGGCTGGTGGTCGTCAATGAAGCCGATAGTATTGTGGGAATTATTTCCCTGTCCGATATCCTGCAGGCCCTGATACTCACCCCCGCAGGTATAAATGCTAGTGTCTGACCTTCACCGTAAGTACATGGCAGGGGGTGGGGGCGTGCAGTAAGCCCTTCCCTAGCACCTGCCAGCCGCAGCCTTCTCTACAGTAGCTCATCAAGCATTTTCATTTTCATTGTGGTTTTGAAGTTTCACTGTCCTACTTGAGAGACAAAAGTTTATAGAAAAGTATTCTGACTTAGGAGCATCCTATCGATACCCAGTCCTTGAGTAATCAAGGACTTATTGCCATGTTCATCATAACCTTTTCCTTTAAAAAGAGTTCCTCGGTTTCGCTTTATTTTAGGGCTGCTAACTGGAAATCAGGAAAGAAATTCTTTGGGATCCACCTATTGAAACCATCCTTGGGTTCAGGCCCTGGGTTGGGAAGATCCCCTGGAGAAGAAAATGGCAACCCACTCTAGTATTCTTGCCTGGAGAATCTCATGGACAGAGGAGACTGGCAGGCTACAGTCCATGGGGTCACAAAGAATTGGACACGAATGAGTGACTAACACTTTCACTTTCACCCTTCGAAAAGAACTTACTAGTAGTGACTATATAAAACAAATGAGCTGCACAAACTTTTCCATTAATAGTATATTAATAGTTAATTACATTAACTGCCAAATGACATTTGGTGACTAAACTCATTTTCTCCCAGATTCACTCTAAGCAAACCCTCAGGTCACAGTCAGGAGCCTGCAGGACTGGGGAGGGGGCTTTTTTTTTTTTTTTTTTGGGAGGGGGCTTTAGAAGAGAGAAGTTGGTGTTTCTTACATGCCACATGTTTACTAGATGGGTCCTAAAACCACCACCCCCACCTCTACCCACCCCCACCCCCCATCCTACCGTACTAAGCATTTACAGGTAGGCCAGCCTCAGGCCTCACAGATCAAGGCCAAGACCTGGGAGTAAATGATATGCCCTTTGAACTCTTAAGTTAAACATTAAAATTTGCATTTACTAGGGTATTGATTTTCCTTTAGTTCAGAATCAGACTGGCTACGACCAGTTTTTACAATTGGTCCGTGACCTGAAGACACCCGCCCTAAAGGAACCCCCACCACCAGCAGGAAGCAGACCCCACTAAGCGAGAAGGGCGGGGGCTGGGGCATGGCCCCAGGGGGCGGGGCTCGCAGAGCTGCCGCAGCACCTGGCCAGTGTCAGAGAACCCCAGGGGGCCCAGCCTGCGTCTGCTGAGTCGAACCTCTCGAGATGGGGCTTGCCGCAGTCATTTTCAAATCTCGGACATTACAGAACTTCATTTTAAGGTCAAGTTTCAGGACAGCGTTAGAGGTCAACCTCTGCACACACCACGAGCGATCAGCCTTCAAGTCCAGCCACCACCGTGCAGCTGACCCCTCACCCATGGCACTCCTCATCCCCCTTCCCTTCTGGAAACCAGTCCTCTGTTCTCCATGTGTTTTTGTCATTATTTCATTAGTTTTGGCTCAGGGTTTTTGTTTTGTTTTTTTTTTTAAGATTCCACATATGAATGAAATCCTACGGTATTTATCTTTACCTGTCTTATTTCATGCTGAAATAAGTGAAAGATCCATCCACGTTGTCAAAAATGGCAGGATTTCATTTTTTTCCAGCTCATGATAATCTCTATAGTCATGAAATGAGAAAAGGACTAAAAGAATGTGAGATTGTCCATAGCATTACTTACAGTAACCTAACACTGGGAATAACCCAGACATCTTTGAGCACAAGAATGGACAGGCAGCATTCTGTCCGTTGGTGGAATGGATGGATGGTGAACGCACAGCTGTATCTGACAGTGGACGAACCTCACAGACAAACCGTAGAGCGAGGAAGCAGGGCCAGTGTGGAGAGTGTGGTTCCACTGGTGTACAGCTGACCCTTGAACATTACGAGTCCACTTCTACGTGGAATTTTTTCAGTAGTAAAGACTGCAGTCCCACATGGCCCATGGCTGGTTGAATCCACAGAGGCGCAGCCGAGGATGCGAGGGGAACGTGGGTACAGAGGCCGAGCTGTATGCAGTGACCCGGCCCCCTATGTTCACCGACCAGCTCTACAGCGACTCCATGCACATGAGGGAAAGGACTCTCCTCCACTCAGCCTCATCCCCACGGCCACGTCACTTGGCACCTTGACAAAAAGACACCCCTTTTCTAGCCGGCTGGCCCTGGGCCAAGGCACACAGCTTGCTGGGCAGAGTCAGGCCAAACGTTAGCTCGCTTCTGTCTTTGAGGCCAAGATTCTTTGTGCATCACAAATTCACAGTAAGTAATTCTTGATCCTGTCTGTGCCTTGGCGTCACAGACCAGAAGAATGAGAATGTTCATCTGGGCGAGTTTAAATTTCCATCCAGATTGGATTTTTTTTAAAATTCTAAGTCACTGATGCAAGTCAGCATTAATGAGATTGCAAGAAGGAAACCTGGGCCACAGCTGGATTTGAAATGTATGTTAACACAGAAATAGCATTATGAAGACAGGGATAATCAAATTAAGAGTTCTTTCTAGTACAGTGGATGTAACACTGTTTATTTAAGGACATGCCTGTGCTCCCAGTAACTGGATTATCCGTGAGCCTTGGGGGCAGAGCTCTCTTGGAATGGAGGGAGCACCTCCTTCAGACCAGAGGTTCCCACACACCGGTCACAGTGTGGTGGGAGTGTCAAACCAGAGGTCCCGCTTGGGCAGCCAACCCCGCTCTCCGCCTGCTCTCCCCCAGAGCTGTAAAGAGTGTGGGCCAGCTCGAGGCTCCCCTGTGCAGCCTCCACCCCTTCTACAGAATGAGCAGCCAACACAGGCCTCCTGTCCCTCCAGAGATCCGTACCCTAATTGAAACCGCACCGCGAGGCCCCACGCCCAGGATGAGCACTGTGCTGTGGATGTTTAGGGAATAATGAGTAAGAGATGCTTTTGAAAGCATCACTATTATGTGAAGAAAAGGGCAGTTCAGTTCAGTTGCTCAGTGGTGTCCAACTCTTTGCCACCCCATGGACTGCAGCACGCCAGGCCTCCCTGTCCATCACCAACTCCCGGAGCTTACTCAAACTCATGTTCATCGAGTTGGTGATGCCATCCAACCATCTCATCCTCTGTGGTCCCCTTCTCTTCCCGCCTTCCATCTTTCTCAGCATCAGGGTCTTTTCCAATGAGCCAGTTCTTTACATCAGGTGGCCAAAATACTGGAATTTCAGCTTCAGCATCAGTCCTTCCAATGAACATTCAGGACTGATCTCCTTTAGGATGGACTGGTTGGATCTCCTTGCAGTCCAAGGGATTCTCGAGTCTTCTCCAACACTACAGTTCAAAAGCACCAATTCTTTGGCCCTCAGCTTTCTTTATGGTCCAATTCTCACATTCATACATAGCTACTGGAGAAGCCATAGCTTTGACTAGACGGACCTTTGTTGGCAAAATAATGTCTCTGCTTTTACCAGTAGTTATTCTTTTCACTGGATAATGGACACAGTTCCCCATTAAGGATACTGATTTGATATATAACATTTTCTCTTGTTGAAAAAAGTTTTAGCTATAGTTCATTGTCCAGCTTAATTCAGATGTTTCAAGTGAACTTAAGTATCTACACATACAACCAGTGAGTCAACAGCCCAATCGCAGTAGCTACAATCTTTTAACCCCTTATTTTTATAGATTGTTAATCTCTTTCAAAGTGAACTGTCTTCTAGTGTCTGATGAGAAAACAGAGAAGCTGTTGTAATGAAAAATAAAAACAACTGCCCCCTCCCAACCCATTTAGAAATATCCTGGCCAGATGAGAGTAGGTGTTAGGTGCAGCTACTGTCAACATGTTACAATGTGGGTTTTTTTCATATTTTTTTGTAAGTATATACAACGGAAGTACTTTGCACCTTTGCTAAAACTTAAATACACATTTCTTTTAAAAATTTTTAGCAGCAAAACCCTCTTCTTTTCAAATTAAACCTTGCACAGTTAGAGTTGCAATATGCAGTTGGATTAAAGGCATGCTGCAGCCACGGGGGGCAGGGGGTGGAGCCCGGACCCACCTGCTCATTGCCCACAATTCGTGAGGCTCTGCAGGTGAGGGTAGGAGCCGTGGGGTGGAGAACCACCTCTGTGCGCACCTAGGACCGGTGCAGCGGCAGCATATTTTTACATTGCTTTGAAACCTTCATTTCCTATCTCCTGGCAGGTGCCAAACAGAAGGAAACAGAAGCCGAGTGACCCCCGTGAGCGGAGGAGCCCTCGAAGGAGAACTTGAACAAAGATGCTGGGTCACGCTTTGCCTCATGAACACGGACCGCGATGAACACAGCAAAAATGGCTGAGAACGTGTGGTATCAGGGTTTATTGATGGTTTTTTTTTTTTTTTCCCAGTGATTTTGACACGAAGCATAAAAAGAGAAAGCTTGTATGTGTTTGAAGATTTCAAGCTTGCATTAAAAGACTGTTCTCAGACCATCGTCTGAAAGATTTCAAATGCTGTATGTCATTAAAGTGCACTGTGTCCTGCGTTTTTATTCTTTTTCATGTTAAAGAAGTCACTGGTATCTTAACAGGCAGCATGACATAAGGCGAGTGTGTGGCCTATTGAGAACTAGTGCCTTATGTCGGAACAGCGGCCCATCATCCCCGCTGCCCGCAACGGCTGGAACATGTCCTGGCGAAGCGGCACTGCTGGAGTGTGAACGTCTCTGAACCTGTACCAAATCAGTTTGTCTTCATTCAATTTGTTGACTAGCTGTAATCTGAATATAAATAATTTACTTTATATAAAGTTTTAATGATGGTCTTACATTTAAGTGTTCCGTTCTGAACCATAGTGTAAAACAAGGCTGACTTACAGCAGCTTTATTTATTTTTTACTTCCATGCAATTTTTTTACACATCTTTTTGGTGGGTAAACTTCACCATACCCATGAATAAACCATTGGTTGCTACTTTGAAAGGGCAGATTTCTCGTCATTTCAGTTCAGACCTGGAAAGGATAAGACTTCTCAAAGAGCCAGTGTTGGGTTTTAAAAGCTGACATTTCTAACAGCATGTGTGGGAACCTGCTCTGCAGGGCTGCAAACAAAGTGCCCGGAAGATGTCTATTTTTTTTCTTGTGTTTTGACATGAAAATCATGATGTCTGTATGACTGCTGATGGAATTGTTTTGTAAATTTTACTGTGGCATATACAGTATTGTCATATGGTTGAGGAGAAACACAATGTTTCCTAGTGTAAGTGCTCTGAAAATGTTGACACTGTGTGTGTGTGTGTGTGTGTGTGTGTGTGTGTGTGTGTATACACACACGGGTATAGTTTGGTTTTTTGTTTTTGGGTTTTTTTTTTTTTTTGCAGATTGAAAACTTAAAATAAATCTTACTATCTGCCGTCTTGTTAAAGAAGTTCTTTAAAATACTTTGTATTTCAGCACACATTAATTAAAATCCTACATGCAATTTCCCACTTAGATCTTTCTCCCCAAATAAAGGAGAACATGCATTCTCCTATTCTTTTTTACATCAACAGGAAAAAAAACCTTAATGATTTGATTCGTAAACTTTATCTCTCTCCATTATTAAATAAAACATTTCATTTAAAATTTCCATGCATATTTTTTTATGCTAGGGATCAATTTTTTCATCTAACAGGCCAAATATGAAAGAGATTTTGCCTGTTTTCCCCAGAGAAACAGTAGTGTTTGTGATTTAGGCTAATGGTAAATCTTGGAGAACAATGAAATATCAGAGAAAGTTAAAAAAATACTGGGTAATAAACCTGACCAAGAAGATATGCTAAGAACTGTAAAACACTGATAAAGGAAATTGAAGATGATTCAAAAAAATGGAAATATATCCCATGCTCTTAGACTGGAAGAATTGACGTTGTTAAAATGGCCGTGTTACCCAAAGCAGTCTATAGATTTAATGCAATCCCTATCAAGTTACTCATGACATTTTTTACTAGAACAAATACTACTAAAATTTATATGGAAACACAAAAGACCCAGAATTGCCAAAGCAATACCAAGCAAAAAACAAAGCTAGAGGCATAACCCTCACAGACTTTAGACACTACTACAAAGCTACGGTAATCAGAACACTCTGGTATTGGCAAAAAAAAAAAAAAAACAGACATATGAATCAGTGGAAGAGAATACAGAGTCCAGTAATAAATCTACACACTTACACTCTTCAACAGAGGAGGCAAGAATACACAATGGAGAAAAGACTCTCTTCAATGAGTGGTGCTGGGAAAGCTAGACAGCTGTATGTAGATAAATGACATTCAAACACACCACACAATACACAAAAATAAACTCAAAATGACTTAAATACAAGACATGACACCATAAAACTAGGACATGGGCAAAGCATTCTCTGACATAAATAGTACCAATTTTTTTTTTAGGTCAGTCTGTCAAGACACAAGTAAAAGCAAAAATAAAGGGGACCTAATCAAACATTAAAAGATGCTTACTCCTTGGAAGGAAAGTTGTGACCAACCTAGATAGCATATTAAAAAGCAGAGATAATACTTTGCCAACAAAGGTCCGTCTGGTCAAGGCTATGGTTTTTCCAGTGGTCATGTATGGATGTGAGAGTTGGACTGTGAAGAAAGCTGAGCACCGAAAAATTGATGCTTTTGAACTATGGTGTTGGAGAAGACTCTTGAGAGTCCCTTGGACTGCAAGGAGATCCAACCAGTTCATCCTAAAGGAGATCAATCCTGGTGTTCATTGGATGGACTGATGCTAAAGCTGAAACTCCAATACTTTGGCCACCTGATGTGAAGAGTTGACTCATTGGAAAAGACCCTGATGCCAGGAGGGATTGGGGGCAGGAGGAGAAAGGGACAACAGAGAATGAGATGGCTGGATGGCATCACCAACTCGATGGGCATGAGTTTGAGTAAACTCCGGGAGTTGGTGATGGACAGGGAGGCCTGGTGTGCTGTGATTCATGGAGTCACAAAGAGTCAGACACGACTGAGCAACTGAACTGAACTGAATCAAACATACAAGCTTTTGCATGGCAAAGGAAACCATAAACAAAAAGCCTACAGACTGGGAGAGAATATTTACCAACAATGTGATCAAAAAAGGCCTAATTTCCAAAATATACAAACAGCCCATATAATTCAATAACAATCAAAAAATGGGCAGACAACCTAAACAGACATTTCTCCAAAGAGGGGCATACAGATGGTATGAAAAGATGCTAACCATCACTAATTATTAGAGAAATGCAAATCAAAACTACAATGAGGTATATTGCCTCACCCAAGTCAGAATGGTCATCATCCAAAAGTACAAAATATGCCTGAGAGGGCGTAGAGAAAAAGGAACTCAAACTGTCGGTGGGAATGCAATTGGTGCAGGCACTATGGAGAACAGTATGGAGGATCATTAAGTAAAAATAGGGTTGCCATATGATCTTGCAACCCCACTCCTGGGCATATAGCCAGAAACTCTAATTAGAAAAGATGCATGTATCGCAGTGTTCATAGCAGCACTATTTCAATAGCCAAGACACAGGAAGCAGCGTAAACATCCATCAACAGATGAATGGATAAAGACATACAACAGAATATCGCTCAGTCAAAAAAAAAAAATTATGCCATTTGCAGCAGCATGGATGAACCTAGAGATTATCATATAAGTCAGACAGAGATGGACAAATATGATACACTTACATGTGGAATCTTTAAAAAAAAAAAAGGTACAAATGAACTTATTTACGTCACAGAAACAGACTCACAGACATAGAAAATAAGTGCATGGTTACCAAAAGGTAAACGGGGAGGGGTGGTGGAATTAGGAGTTTGGGATTAACAGATACACTACTATATATAAAATAGGTAAACAACAAGGACCTACTATATAGCACAGGGAACTATATTCAATATCTTGTAACAACCTACAATGGAAAAAAAACATAAAATATAGATCTGTATGGGTGTATATACATATACATATATATATGTACATATATATATAACTGAATTACTTTGCTGTATACCCAAAACTAACATTATAAATTTATAAACTATACTTCAACCTGGGCTTCCCTGGTGGCTCAGACGGTAAAGCGTCTGCCCGCAATGCAGGAGACCTAGGTTCAATCCCAGGGTCAGGAAGATCCCCTGGAGAAGGAAATGGCAACCCACTTCAGTACTCCTGCACAGAAAATCCCATGGACAGAGATGCCTGGTAGGCTACAGTCCATGGAGTCGCAAAGAGTTGGACACGACTGAGCGACTTCACTTTCACTTTCTTTGCATACTTCAATTAAAAAAGGAGAATACTTGGAGAAACGGGAGAAGTCACAAAGCTGCTAGAACACAGTTTTGAAACTCCAAGTATCTGTCCTCAATCTGCCCTTGCTTGTGCAGCACACGCAAATGTGCATAGATGGCCCATGGTGTGTAGGAGGCACGCTGTGTCCTCTGCTTCAGAAGACAGTTTGGGTTCTTAAAAGAACCATGTCTCTTCCCACGAGGCACACGCGTGTCCTGTAGGTCTCTGACCCACCCCCAAGCGTACTTTTTTTGTTTGAGGGTTTTGAGTTGTATGATCGGGCCAAACACATCAGGGTGTGGAGCTTAAGGAAGCAGCCCCGTCTAGTGGTCAGGTTACAAGTAACCAAGTTCCATTATCCTTCGGTTTCCATCAAAGTGTTATTTGTTCCCAGCAAATGATCAAGACTGGATTACAGTAAACATGTTTCTGGGTGCCCTTCTAGAAATAAGGAAAAGTGGGACTTGAAGGCCTGGTGAAAGAAGGATTCTAAGGGGAAACATCTAAACAATTTGAGAGGTGGAGCTCACCTTGGAAACCCTTGTACCAAGATGCTGACAGCACCTCCAGAACAAAAGTGTGAACAGAAGGGACTACTGTGAAAGCAAGAGCATGTCGGCAACACCATGTCTGTTCCAGAAATGGAGGGCACCATTCTTCTGTGTCTTCTAATCTCTAAGAAAAACTTACAGACATGGTGAGCTGATAACATTTCTCATGACTGTCTTAGAGAAACATCTTTGCATGGACAGACAGTCCACTTAGACCACTGGTTCTCAATCCAGAGAGATTTCCATCCTAGAAGACATCTGGCAAAGTGCAGATGTTGTGGCTGTCACCACTGGGAGTAGAGAGAAGGGCTGTGTGTCTCAAAACACCTCACTGCACACAACAGCCGCCATGACAAACAGTATCCAGCCCAAGATGTCTGTAGGAC